CTAAATTCTTTACACTTGCATCTAGGCATCTCCGTAAAATGATTTATGTCCATGGTGGATTTATCTGCCTAAACATAACAGATCTGCTCTTTCCCATCCTCACTGTTCACCACGATGGAGTTATTAGAGCATAGAGTTACTTTTTTCTTTTGTCGTAACTCTAAGAAGCACTCTTAAAACAGTTTGCGCAACTGTGCATCATGGGAGTTAATAACAGTACTGTAATTTTTACGAAAGATGCAGTAAAATTAGCTCAACATTACCTCAGTTAGCTGTCCAGAGGGTCCGACGAACAAGAAATTTTATTGATGTGGCCCAACTTTTAAGAGAACTTGTCGTCGAGAAGCACCAAGTCCCATTGAAGTTGCCTTCTCAACCAGATCGTTTTCAATCTCAGCGCTTAGGTAGGGGTTCCTTCCACTCCATGCTCCAACTTAAGTTTTTCCTGTCATTTTATCAGAAAGTGGTTACCGTACTTTGAGAATTTTAACCCACCCCCCCCCCCCCCCCCCGAACCCCGCTTTTCTCAAAGGCATTCCATTTCTTATTGCTTTAAGGGCTTCCTGTGACCTCCTTGGAGTTACTTGTATACACATCTTTCTGGGTTCTTTTCTTCTGTTTAAGTCAAAAAGTTCATATCCTATTTTTTTTCAAATTACGTTCAAAATAGAGCGGGAACTCAAAGTTTATTAAATGTATAATTAAAAAAACATTTTCTGAATCGTAAATTTGAAATATTTAATGAATATCTCGTTCATGGAATGGAAGTCCGAAACTAAAAGAGTGTGAAAAATTAAAGTCGTTTAATTTAGGACATTTAAATTCGATAATAACTTCATTTTTATGTATTTATCAGAAAAAAATTTATAATGATCAGTACAATTATTTCATTTTTAGCTCACCTGAGCCAAAGGCTCAAGTGAGCTTTTCTGATCAAAATTTGTCCGTTGTCTGTCGTCGTTGTTGTCGTTGGCGTTGGTGTTGGCGTTGTTGTTGTTGTAAACTTTTCACATTTTCATCTTCTTCTCAAAAACCACTGGGCGAAATTTAACCAAACTTGCCACAAAGTATCCTTGGGTGAAGGGGATTCGAGTTTTTTCAAATGAAGGGCCACGCCCTCTTTCAAGGGGAGATAATTAGGAATTAGTGAAAAAATAATGGCATCATTTAAAAATCTTCTTCTCAAGAACCACTGGGCCAGGAAAGATGAAACTTATGTGGAAACATCCTCAGGTAGTGTAGATTCAAGTTTGTTCAAACCATGACCCCCGGGGGTAGGGTGGGGCCACAATGGGGGATCAAAGTTTTACATAGAAATATATGGGAAAATATCTTTAAAAATCTTCTTCTTAAGAACAGCAAAGCCATGATTGGTCATATTTATATGGAAGCATCCTCAGGTAGTGTAGATTCAAGTTTGTTCAAATCATCACCCTCGGGGTAGGGTGAGGCCACAATGGGGGATCAAAGTTTTACATAGAAATATATAGGAAAATATCTTTAAAAATCTTCTTCTTAAGAACAGCAAAGCCATGAGTGGTCATATTTATATGAAAGCATCCTCAGGTAGTGTAGATTCAACTTTGTTCAAATCATGACCCCTGGGGCAAGGGTGGGGCCATAATGGGTGAGTAAAGCTTTACATAGGAATACATCAGAAAACCTTTAAAAATCTTCTTCTCCAGATCCCATAAGCAACAGAGCTGTGGTAAGTTATATTAATATGCAAGCAGTTTATGTAGTGCGCATTCAATTTTGTCTAGTTTGTGGCCGTACGAAATAATATCAACAGAGTAGCTGAACCTTTGTTTATTTTTTTTCTCTCGATCGGGCGCGGTGTACCAAATTAATGAAAACGAGGCTCAGCCATTTTTAAGAAGTTTACACGGATCTGAAACAAAAATATTATTCATTGCTGATTGTCGGTTTCATTCTGTAAGGTTTGAAGAGTAAAGGGTTTATCTAAATAATTACAACCTTGCGTATATTTGTTCATGCAGCATAAATTTGTTATTATGCAGTGAGGAGGCACAGCAATCATACTGCGCAGTTGAAGTCTCTCGGAGAAAAGTCACACGGAGAAGAACAAGTCCATTTAGATACTGCTACATTTTACTAGTGTTAAAGAAGATTGAAAAGATGATCTATTTTTAAAATTTACTTAGTGGAAGGAAACGTAATAGTTTGACATTACTTAACATAAATTAGACGAATTTCACATTCCTAAGAGTTATCTCCCGTTGTCGGCGTAACGCTCATTTTCCCACTGTCTTTGTCATATGTAAGTTACCTGTTTATATTTTTAATCGTCAAGCGTTATCGGACAATTTCGATCTATACCTGTATTGCCAGAGTATGGGGTAACATGTAAATTATGAACATATTCATACAGATTTTATTACTAAAATACTGACCTATAAAGTTGGTGAGGTTATAGAGAAACAGTGCCTTACGTCGGTTGACCCCATATAGACCCCGCAAAGGGGAATAACTATTGTAAATGTGAAAGTCATCTATAGGGACAACTTCTGCATATAGTTACACCTGTCGTCAGGACATGTCAATAAAGGATAACTCTTATAGATAGTTTTCGATAGGCCAGAATTTAGCAAGAGTTATTTCCCGTTGGTTGCCATACTGGAGGTCCAAAGGCTCATATTCCTTCATTGTTCAACCAAATTTAAAATTTTATATTTGCTATTTTGAAAAAAGATTCATTACTTTTCTGAAGTATATAAATTTTTGGAAGCCTCCTTTATTTAAAAAAAATTATTTATTAAAGATTTTCCACCAAATATTTCTGCTACAACCTCTTAAACTTGGTAAGACAAAGAGGGAACATCACCGAGTCGACCTCCAATATGGCGACTAACGGGAAGTAACTTTCGCTAAATTCAGGCCTATCGAAAACTATTTATTGTTAGTAAAAGTAGCAGTACAAAGTGTTTATAGAAGTGTGCAGAAAGGAAACTCCTACATAAATGGTGATTTTATGTCAATCGCAGAGATGACTATCACCTACGCAGGTTCCTGACAATTGGTTAAAGTAAAGCTTAGTAGTGTGTGTAAAATACTAAAAAAAAAGACAACAGTAGAATAAAAAGATAATATAAATCTACATGTAGTTCATTATTGTTTTATGTGTATTTTTTATTTAAAAAAAATTAATAGAAAGGTGTTATTTTCATGCCATATGGTTTTACCATTCTGCCTTTTATATTGCACTTGTTCTTTGTTTTATATTGTACTTGTTTTTTACATGTAAAGCACTTTAGGGTAATTACATAATTAGATAAGGTGCTATATAAAAGTAGAATAATAATAATAATGTGGTTTATATAATTAGCAGTCTGATTTAAGTTCTAGTGATGGGAAATCGGAAAAAAATTGCATTCAATGGGTATATTACTGATATTAGTCCCATCTTTCATTAGAATGATAACATGTATTTATTTCTTGGGATTACAAGGTTTAAAAGTAGTTATCCAGAAATAAGGCTTGTATTTTTCATTAATATGTTTTACGGTGTGACCGTTGGAGCGAGCACAGTTGTACCTTAAAAAATACACCTGAAACGTTGATCTGACACTTCAAACGTCAAGTCCCACGAGTCATGTATAGTGTGATGTCACATGAGAGCTCGTCAGGGTTTACGTAAACAGCCGATCATCTAGTTGAAACTAAGACCTAGTGCAATTTTTGTCGAAAGACATTGCAGAGTTATTTTTTGTTTCTTTTTAAGATTTCTACAAACTGAAAGTCTTTATGCCTTACGTTATTATTTATTGGCGCAAACGGTATTGGGTCTTGAAGGAATTCTGGGAAGGGTTCACAACAAAATTTGCTTGACATAGGTACAGATTTCATTCCGAATTTCCTCTGTTCTTACACGTTAGTCTATTGAGCTCGCTTCACAACGCTTGCTGCTCGGAAATTCCTGAGCTGTTTAAATGAAAACAAACATAAAATCATTTTAATAGTCTAAGGTTACAAAGACATAGTAGTTACTATGGATTACATACATTTGCAAATAGTTGTGATGAAGAGGGGTGTACTATATTACACCAGTGTGTGTTTCTGTCGCAAAATTTTTCAAATTTCAATTTACCAAATTTTTCTTTGCGGATTTCTCAGTAACAAGTCATCGTGATCGTAGATGCTGAAAATTTTAGCACACTATTTATTCTAGTTCATAATGTTCAAAAGTTAAGACCAAGGTTAAAGTGTGGTATTTTTTGTGAAAAGTAGGTCAAATTCCAAGGTCAAGATGTCAAATTTGGTGGTGCTCGAAGAAAGGTCTTGTCACAAGAAATACACCTGTGAAATGTGAAAGCCATAGTGGGTGAGGACCCACTCAAAAGTTATAGGCAAGGTTAAAGTTTTTGTGGACACAAAAACTATATACCCCCAAAACTTACAGACTTTATGGTGATAGAAATGATGTTATTCAAAGGAATTGATTTGCGTCTCTCTTAAAATGATTGATTGATTGATTGTATGTTATTTCACAACCCTCTCGAGAATTTTTCACTCATATGAGACATAACCACTTGCAGGTGGAGAACTACAAATTTTGTCCTATACTCGGCACTCAGGGCCATTACGCAGTGAAGGATCTTCTTCGTGCCTGCACTTACAGAGACACGGGACCTCGGTTTATACGGTCTCGTCCAAAGGACCAGTCTCCACGTCCCACAGTGGGATTCGAACTCACGAACTAAGGATAAACTCCTTAGTTTGTGCCTCTAGAGCAGATGCTCTAACCACTGCGCCACACGGGTGACCTCTTTAAATGAATGTTGGCATATGTTTTGCATGTAATTTTGAATTTAACTTTCAGGTTTAAAATTTTTTAAACTTTTCTGCTTTCTTAAATTTGATTTGTGCTACAAACTTAAAATAAGTATATATTTTTAAAAAACATTTGCATTGTAGTTTCCAACAACTGCTATCTAATCTGAAAGTGTCAGTGATGGCAGCATTATTAATTTGAGAATGTGTAGGCTATGCTGATCCTTATTATATAGTATAGATTATAACGTTATATTTTTTATAGATCACAGAATGCCTAGGAAGAAGAGCTGGAAGAAAGCTGCTGTAAAGAAGAATGCATGTAAGGCAGATGTGGGTGACAAGTACCCCACAGATGTTGGCCACGTCCAACTGTCTGTGCCTCTGGGTGTAGGCCACGTCCTAACACCTATGACATCTGTACCGGCAGGGGTGATCTCTACCACCCCTGTGACAGTGGTCTCTGCGGCTCTCCCTGAGACCACTCTGACTCAAACTCAAATGTTGCCTCAAAAGTTGCCTCAAATGATTACTCAGAATTCCTCTCAGTTGTTTACTCAGAATATCTCTCAGATTACAACTCAGAATATTACTCAGTTTACAATGAACAATATACCAAATGAAACAACATATGCACTGCAAGGTAATTGTATGCATCAGAATTCAGATAATCTGGTGTTTGGATCTTTCCATCAGGGAAGCATGAGATTTTCATCATTTTCAAGAGGTAATCAGTGTACATGCAATTCACTTATGATGTTGTCAAATTCATATGAAAATTTTTCATTCACTAGTTCCTTTTTGGATCAGACTCTGCTCAAAGGAGATAATTTGTACAACACAGTTGTGAAGATTCTTCAGAGTGCTGGAAAACTGAAGAGCAGATTGCTGATGTTTGATGAACTACCAATTCATATTGATTCTGGTGAAAATCACCACATGGTTGATAAGTTTGATACATTGTTTGGCTTATTAGTTACAGATGATAAGAGAAATCAAATTCCAACTCTACATGAATGTCTGAAACAAGCATTAGGGTTATCTAGGTATGTATTAATAATGATTGGCTCAATATGTTCAGCACTGTACAAAGCTTCTGACAATGATTTTTATTTTTTTGACTCACATTCTCATGGGGAAAATGGCTTGTCTGATTGTGATGGAAAGTCTCTGATGAGACACAGTTGCTGCTTAGATGATTTGTTAGTATTTCTGTATGCAATGTATGAAAGTATGCACATTGAATTTGCAACTGAATTTGAAGTGATGCCTGTTGCCTTTCGTACACTTATTCATAGCTTCCCTAGCAATAATCAAAGTACACATCAATATTGTAGATTAGATCAGTTAACAACAACTGCTCTCTCAAACAAACAATCTGTTGTTATCAATACTGGTCACTTAAAAACAACAGAGATAAAGAAAGATAAAAAGGATTACATGAGAGAATATATGAGAAACAAGAGACAGGATCCAGAGTTCAAAGACAAGGAAAGAAAAAGTATGAAAAACAAGAGACAGAATCCAGAATTTAAAAGCAGGGAAAGGGACAGTATGAGAAACAAGAGACAAGATTCAGAATTTAAAAGCAGGGAAAGGGACAGTATGAGAAACAAGAGACAAGATCCAGAGTTCAAAGACAAGGAAAGAGAAAGTATGAAAAACAAGAGACAGAATCCAGAATTTAAAAGCAGGGAAAGGGACAGTATGAGAAACAAGAGACAAGATTCGGAGTTTAAAAGCAAGGAAACGGACAATATGAGAAACAAGAGACAAGATCCAGTGTTTAAAGACAAGGAGAGGGACAGTAAGAGAAACAAGCGGCAAGATCCAGAGGTTAAAGCCCAAGAAAGAGACAGTATGAGAAACAAGAGACAAGATCCAGAGTTTAAAGACAAGGAAAGGGACAGTAAGAGAAACAAGAGACAGGATCCAGAGTTTAAAGTCAAGGAAAGAGAAAGTATGAGAAACAAGAGACAGGATCCAGTGTTTAAAGACAAGGAAAGGGACAGTAAGAGAAACAAGAGACAGGATCCAGAGTTTAAAGTCAAGGAAAGAGAAAGTATGAGAAACAAGAGACAGGATCCAGAGTTTAAAGACAAGGAAAGGGACAGTAAGAGAAACAAGAGACAGGATCCAGAGTTTAAAGTCAAGGAAAGAGAAAGTATGAGAAACAAGAGACAGGATCTAGAGTTTAAAGACAAGGAGAGGGACAGTAAGAGAAACAAGAGACAGGATCCAGAGTTTAAAGTCAAGGAAAGAGAAAGTATGAGAAACAAGAGACAGGATCCAGAGTTAAAAGACAACGAAAGAGACTGTATGAGAAACAAGAGACAGGATGCAGAGTTTAAAGGAAAAGAGAGGGACAGTAAGACAAACAAGAGACAAGATCCAGAGTTTAAAGACAAGGAAAGGGACAGTAAGAGAATTAAAAGGCAAGAAGAAGAGTATAGGCATGATGAGCAAATAAGAGATTTAAAGAAGAAAAAAAAAATGAGACAAAATCCTAACCAGTTAGAAAAAGAGAGATTGAAGATGAAAGAAAAGAGAAAAAATGAAGAGTATAGATCATCAGAAAATATTGCTGCAAAACAATCAAAAGCACACAAACGGGGGAATTTGGACTATATTGAAACTGAAAAGCAAAGATACAAAGTAAATTTGGAGTTAATGCAGCAGAATGTGTTGACAATTTTCACAACAATGTAAAATTGGGTCCTGTGTTTGTATGCACATGTTGCCAACAGACATGGTTTCATGAAAGTGTTTTAAATATTGAGAATGTTTTGTTGGATGCTGAAATTAAAAGGAAGTATTTCACTTATACAAAGTCTGTAAACGAGCAGGAATGGATATGTAACACTTGCAATTCAAGCTTAAAAGAAAGTCGAACTCCAAAACTCTCTCTTGCAAATGGAATGACATGGATTCAAAAACCAAGTGAATTAAATCTGTTACCATTGGAAGAAAGACTTGTATCATTAAGAATTCCCTTTATGCAAATAAGAGAATTACCAAGAGGAGGACAGTATTCTGTAAAAGGAAATGTTGTAAATGTGCCTGTTGACATACAGCCAACAATTAATAGCCTTCCCAGGAGACTTGATGAAAATATCACAATACCTGTGAAGCTAAAAAGAAAACTTATCTTTTCAGCACTCTTATTGTCATGAAAATATCCGACCTACAAAGGTTCTGATTGCTTTACATTGGTTAATGAAAAACAGTGAATATTATCAGAATTCAAACATAAACATAGATGACAACTGGTTCCATGAGGTCACCAATTCAGCAAGCGAATTAATGCGAGAGTTTATAGAGGGCCACACCAATCAAGATTCAACAATGCATAATGAATAAGATGAATCAGACTCTGATGAATTCTCTGAAGTTGATAGTAGTAGTAAGGATGGAAATTGTGATACACTACTAGACAGTGACTCATATGATATGAATCAGATCTTCACATTTGCTCCAGGACAGGGACAGCGTCCAATTAGTTTGTATCAAGATCAAATGGCTGAGTATTTGTCATTTCCAACAATATTTTGTGGTAAAGGAAGAATAGAAAATGATCAGCGTCAAGTACCAGTTTCATATGCTGATATTGCCAAGTGGGAATTACGAAGTGTTGATAGACGTGCTGCACAGTCGGTACCAAACTTGTTTTTCAAACTGAAAAAGATTCAACTAAAACAGGTAACAGACAAATGCAATTTAGCTCTTAGAAAGTGCAAAACAAAGGGGAAAACCTTTACTGCAAATGAAATAAGAAATCCTGATCAAATTAACAACATTGTTAGATACAATGAGGGATTTTATGTATTCAAACAGTTGAGAAATTCTCCTCCTTATCTTGAAACAAGAAAGAAAGATGATTTTGCAATGATACGACAGCTTGGTCTACCAACTTGGTTTATGTCCTTTTCTGCTGCAGATACACGATGGAATGATCTGATAAGGGCACTAGGGGTTTTAAACGATGACAGAGAGTACACAGATTCTGAAATTGAGAGCATGACATGGACTGAAAAATCGAAGTTGGTTCAGAAAGACCCAATTACATGTACAAGGTATTTTGATCATCGTTTTCGAACTTTTTTGAATACTGTGCTTAAGAGTGATCATCATCCTATTGGCAAGGTACAGGACTTCTTCTATAGGGTTGAATTTCAACAAAGGGGATCACCACATGTTCACATGATTGTTTGGATTGAAAATGCTCCAAAATACTTAGAAAATGATGACAACGAAATTGTTGCATTTGTTGATAGCTACTTAAAATGTGAAAGAAATGCAGAAGACAATATGCTAGAATTACAGGTGCATAAACACTCACAAACATGCAAAAAACGAGGAAAAGCTGTTTGTAGATTTGGATTTCCACTTCCACCACTCCAAACTACCATGATATTAGAACCTTTGGACAGTGAAGTTGAGAAATACAAAAAGATGTATAAAGCTATGCAAGACAAAATGAATGAATTTAAAAATGGATGTGATGTAAGCTTCAGTTTCCAAGAGTTCTTGCAGGATATAGTACAATTATCTGAAGACGATTATATCAAATGCATCAGAAGTTCCTTGAGAGGACCCAAAGTATTTCTAAAGCGTAAACCCTGTGACCTTAGAGTGAATGCTTACAACAGTACTCTTCTTCATGCATGGGCAGCTAATATTGACATTCAGTATGTACTGGACCCATATGCTTGTGCAATGTACATTGTCTCATACATAAGTAAATCCCAAAGGGGTATGAGTGATCTCCTGAGTAGAGCTGCAAAAGAAGCAAGAGAGGGCAATCTTGACATTAAGAGACAAGTTAGACACATTGGAAATCAATTTCTCAACAGTGTTGAAGTTGGGGCACAGGAAGCAGCATATCTGGTTTTGCAAATGCCACTTACAAAAGCATCAAGAGATGTAATATTTATAAACACATCTCCAACTGACGAGCGTGTAATACTTGTCAAACCTGATTCAGAACTTGAAAAGTTGAATGCTACCTCCACAGACATAGAATGCAGTAACATAGTCAAAAGATATGCAAAACGTCCAAAACAACTTGAAAACTGGTGTTTAGCTGACTATGTCTCACAGATAGATGTAGTTTTCCCAAAAGAAAATACAAATGAGCTGTCTGAAATGGAAACAAATGATGATGAAATGCACCAGTCAGAAAATGAAGAAAGTGGATCTGATACTGAGGGTGAATTTAAAGATGACAGCACATTAGTTGTGTTGAAAAATGGAATAAAAATCAAGCGCAGAAAAACACCAAGAGTTATAAGATATGTGCGCTATAGTTTAAAGACAGACCAAGAAAATTACTATAGAGAAAAACTAATGCTGTTCACTCCATGGAGAAATGAAAGTTCTGATCTTTTGTGTGGACAACAGAGCTTTGAGCAGTCATTTAACCACAAGAAATTTTTCTTAACTCAGAAAATCAAACAGTATGAACACAATGCTGATGCGCTTGAGCAGGCAGAACAGATGGCACAAGGTGATTTGACAGAAGCATATGATGAATTAGCTCCTGGTGCTCAACAAACTGAGGCAGAAGATGAATATGAAGGAAATGTTGACTCTGAAAAATTTGTACACTTTAATCCTGAAAGGCCAATTGAACAGAGAGAGTATGATATAAGAAATGATGTTGGAATTCCATCAACAAGACAACTGAGTGAGCAGAGCTCTGTTAGATTACCTGATGATGAGTATTTAAAGCTTGTAGCCAGTCTGAATTTGAAGCAACGTGAATTCTTCAATCATGTTATGCAATGGATCAAATGTAAACAGGAACCTATTCACGCATATCTGTCAGGAGGTGCAGGCGTTGGGAAGTCGGTGTTAATCAGAGCACTTTATCAAGCTTTACATCGGTATTTATGTGCTAAGGAGGGAGAAAATCCAGACGATATACGAATTCTTCTTTGTGCATACACTGGTAAAGCTGCATTTAACATTGGTGGTCAAACAATTGCTTCTGCATTTCATCAGAAAATTAACCAAAGGCAGCAAAACATGCATTGTGATGAACTGAACACATTTAGAACTAAATATAGGAATTTGTCAGTTGTCATCATAGATAAAATTTCAATGGTTGGTAATGCAAAGTTGGAATTTATCAATGATAGACTTCAGCTTCTTACTGGTTTGAAGAAGCCCTTTGGAGACATTAGTATTATTGCTGTTGGAGATTTCTTTCAACTTACACCAATCATGGATGGATGGATTTTTCAAGATTTAAAACAAAATGCCCAAGCACTTGCATGTAATCTTTGGAAAGAAAATTTCACCTTATTTGAGTTAGATGAAGTAATGCGACAAAAAAATGATTTAGAATTTGCACAGCTTTTGAACCGTCTTCGTCACAATGAGATGACTTCTGAGGACTTGGATATAATTCACAAGTGCATCATTGCTGAAAATAGTCCTGATTATCCACACAATGCTCCCCATCTTTTCACAATGAATGCGAAAGTAGATGAATATAACAATAAACTCATAGAGCAACTTCCTGGTGAAAAAGTCATTGTGAAAGCTTTTGACAGTGTCCTCCAAGACCACAGTAAGTCTGTGAAAGACCGACTACTCAGATCATTGCAAAATCAAGATGATGTAAGCAAAACTGCAAATCTCATGACAAGACTAACTCTAGCCATTGGAATGATATATGACATTACAGTTAATATTGATGTTACTGATGGTTTGACAAATGGCTCATCATGTACTGTATATCTTGTTGAAAACAGATTACCTGGTGTATCAAGGCCAAGTATAGTGTGGGTAAATTTTTGGATTCTGCAGTAGGGAGAATTGCTCGACAGAAATACAGACACCTTTTCCATGATGATATTAAGGATAATTGGACACCAATATTTGACTGTCAGCGATCTTTTGTTTATAATTCAACTACATATCAAAGAATACAGTTTCCTTTAAGACCAGCTGCTGGTAAGACAATCCATAAGGCCCAGGGCTGCACTGTTGATGAAATTGTAATAGATCTGTCTCAGTCAAGGATAAGGAAAACACCCCACATTCATTATGTAGCTCTTAGTAGAGTTAGATCTGTTGACAAGTTGCATATTCTGAATTTCAATGAACAAGCATTAACTGTGGATGAAAAAGTTGTAGAGGAAATAGAAAGAATGAGAAAGGAAACACCTCTAAAACTGTGTTATCTTCCATTGTACAAAGCAGAACAGAACAAACTGAAACTCATGTTTAATAATGTCAGATCTCTTCACAAACATTTTAATGAAATTAAACATGAACCCAATGTTGTAGCATCTGATGTTATTGGTTTTTCAGAAACAAGATTAACCATCATTGATGAACAGAATTTTATGATGGAAGGTTACTTGACTTTGTTGAATCATGAAAAGAGAAGTGACAGCAATCGTCCTCATCATGGAACAGCATTATACGTTAAACAGGACCATTTCATGACATGTATCTCAAAATTCAGCAACACTTTGCTTGAGTTCATCATAGCTTTAATAAATTTCAGAGACTTTGGAGAAGTGCAAATAGTTGTTTTCTACAAGTTCCCAGCATGTTCTTTTAAAGAATTTGAACGTGAAATTATGTTGCACTTAAAACCTTTTGTTGACACAGAGAAAAAATTGATAATTCTTGGAGATTTCAATTTTGATTTGTTTACAGGTCACAAAGAATTTCTAAACTTTATGAAGTTGAATTTAAAGTGCACACAATTGGTAAAAAAGGTAACTCATGATTCAGGTTCACAACTTGATTTGATTTTCACAAACTTCCCTCATTGTGAAACTGATGTGGTTGAGGCATATTGGTCAGACCATAAAATGGTGTACTGTACTTTATAAATCTGATATAAGGGATGCATGAGTATTTATTTGGGGGAGATACGTCATCTTGTCCCCTCTCCCACCTACCATTGTGCCAGTGTCACTTGGTGACATTTGGTACATTGGTTACTGTATACAGGGTTATATTCACCCTGTGTTATTTTCACCCTTTCACACAATTTTGCAACGTTCTAAATTCGCCCAGTCACAGTTTTGTTGAAGAAATACTGTGTTCTTTTAATTTGCCCGTTTTAACTTTGTCTACCTCTAAGATGGATGACAGGGGCAAAAATAAAATGGGGGCGAATATTTCCCTGTATACAGTATCTTATAGGCACCAATTACTTGATGTTAAATTTTGTTTGTTTTTAAGCAAATGTATACTTTAAACTATTTTTTATATGCATGCATGGAATAGCCTAAAAAATTTGCAAACAACTCATCTAGACCACAAAACAATTGGACTTTAAAAGTTTTGTAAAACAGCAAACCTTCATTAGGACTTTTTATTGTGGATTAATTTTCAACAGACAATTAATAAATGTACAAAATAATTGAATGTTGCATGTTAAGGAAAATTCATGTACCATCAATGACAATAATTCATGTCAAAAAATGAAGATCATTGTATTATGTGTTAATATTCATAAATAAATAAATAAATATATATATATATATATATATATATATATATATATATATATATATATATATTGATGTTTGTGAGTTAGTTTTACCCTTACTGTTTAGATTCTTTTCTTTAAAGATGCATATTGAATATCATGAACTTGGTTTGTTGAATACACGTGAAATATTTTGAGATTACATGAATTGTTTACAAAGTTTAATATAAAGAAATTAATAAGTTCTGCTAAATAATAATTAGAGTTGTACTATAAATATACACTTGCATCAAGTAATTGGTGTCTTTAATATATGTTCAACACTGTATTCTATAGTTTTATGAAGTAATTTCACCAAATATTATCTGTTCATGAAAAAATTGCTGTATAGAAATATTGCTAGTTTATTGATGTTACTCACAGTGTCTTGTGTCATTTAGTCCCTACAGAACAATACTGGAGTACATGAGAGTATAAACTTTTACAGTGTATATGAATTTTTTTTCCCAGAGGAAATACAATAACATCACTGTCAATATTCTTATCATACATGTAATTCAAGTCTCTATGTAATTGCTTTATAATCAATCTCATGTAGTATTGTAGATATCACAATTGCTGAGGCTTTAAACAAGCTGGGTGGTCAACAAATTAACCAATAGATGCACCTAAAAATGAAATACTTGCAAGTGATCACACACTATATCTAAAGCCATTATCTATAATTCCATACAGAGCTCCCAGTAATTAGTTTACTGATCATGACCATCCAGCATACTTACTGATTTTTGTAAAGAGTGACTTGTTTATTCTCATAGCTGAATTAGAATTTGATACATGAATTTTGAAAGCACAGCTCAATTAAAGATTTTTTTTAATATACTAGTTTATCATTTACATCATTTTGTTTTGAAATAATGTTCATTGTATATATGAAACATTGTGTTGAAATATTTTGACTTGATTATTTATCTTTTTTGATTTGTTGTGTAAAAATTGTATTTTCGTATTTCATAACATTCATAAATTGCTTTAAACATTTACTTTTACTAGCTTAAGTTACTTGTGTAGAATAGGAAAGCAACCTGCATAATCAGAGAGTAACTGACAACTCATTCTGAGTTACTAGTGTATTGCTAATTTCAGTTTACTCCATGTTAATTGATATTTTTCCTTTAATATTCAGCATTAAGATATTTAATTTGTGACCACCATTATATTATAATCTAATGAGAGTCAACTATATATTAAACACTTATACCCAGGTAAGTATGAAAAGAGGGGGTCAATGGACAGCCCGTAAAGGGAGGTAAACCTACCTCTTTATAATATTACAATTTTTCCTATAAAAGAGAGGAAAAAAAGGTGGATCACTATAATTTCTCATGACTGGTCTTTTAAATCAAAATTATTGCAAAAAGATCTTAATCATTCTATTTTGGAATATTACCATCAAGTTTCGGTAATCTGATTCCTGCAGATACTCCAATTAAATGCTACATATTAAAAATTCTTCAAAAATAATAGTTGATATTCAAAGTCAGAGTCTGTTAACTATCAAATATATTTATTTACTATCAGTTGCAATCTTTCCAATTTTAGCTTTCTTTAATATGTATAGGAAAGATTTACAAAAAAAGTGAACTTTAATAAATACAGTATATTTCGTATCTTTCAAATGATTACTTTGATGTTTTGAAATTTCCTCTAAACAAATGTTAGAAATGTTTACAAAGCATCTACATTTACATGTAATGTTATTGACAGGAAGTTTTGCATTTCTGTCATAAAATTGTTGCAATATTGCATAATTATTTGATACTGTGTGCATGTGTATATATGTGTTGAAGTCATCTAAAATTTAGATAGTTAATTGTTATTAACGCTTCTTAGTTTTTATTCTATTATCTACCAATTGTCTGATAAATTTTCATCAAGTCTGTTGAATTTTGTAAAGAAATAAAAGTAAAATCTTATTCCCATTTTTTGTTTTTATTAGCCGAAGGCTCAAGTGAGCTTTTCTGACCAAAATATGTCCGTTGTCTGTCGTCGTTGTCGTTGTAAACTTTTCACATTTTCATCTTCTTCTCAAGAACCAATTTCAACCAAACTTGCTACAAAGTACTATCCTTGGGTAAAGGGAATTCAAGTTTGTTCAAATGAAGGGCCACGCCCTCTTCCAAGGAGAGATAATTATGAATTAGTGAAAAATTAATGACATTTTTAAAAAATCTTGATTCTTCTCAAGAACCACTGGGCCAGGAAAGATGAAACTCATGTGGAATCATCCTCAGGTAGTGTAGATTTAAGTTTGTTAAAATCATGACCCCCGGGGCAAGGGTGGGGCCACAATCCCCGTGCAAAGTTATACAAAGGAATATATAGGAAAAATCTTTAAAAATCTTCTTCTCAAGATCCATAGGGACAGGAAAGAAACTCATGTTGAATCATCCTCAGGAAGTGTACATTCACGTTTGTTCTAATCATGGCCCCCTCGGGTAGGGTGGGGCCACAATGGCTGATCAGAGTTTTACATAGGAATATATTGAGAAATCTTTAAAAATCTTCTTGAAAGTTCTTCTCAAGAACCATTGGGACAGGAAAGATGAAACTCATGTTAAATCATCCTCAGGTAGTGTACATGCAATTTTGTTCAAATCATGGCCCCCGGGGGTAGGGTGGGGCCACAATGGCAAATTAAAGTTTTACATAGAAATATATAGGGAAATCTTTAAAATTTTCCTCACAAGTACTGCAATGCCATGATTAGTGATATTTTTAGGTCACCTGAGTCACTCGGGTGATCTATTGCTATCTGTTTTCATCTGTCGTCGTCCGTCGTGTGTTAACATTTGAACATTTTCAGCTTCTTCTCTGAAACCGCTGAACCAATTTCAGCCAATTTTAGCATATGGCATCTATGTCTGAAGGGGAACAAAATTTGTGAATATCATGGTCCCTGCCCCCCCCCCCCTCCCGGGGCCTGATAGGTGGGGCTAAAACCACCAAAATTAATGCAATCTTTAAAAATCTTCTTCTTTACTCCTGGACAACAAGCAGTCAAACTGTTGGCATGATTGTAATAAGCATTGAGCCCTCTACCAAAATTGTGAAATTCATGGCCCCAGGGTCAGGGGTTCTGGTGCTAGGGCGGGGCTATATAGATCATATTGTGAAGGTGCATTATTTCTTTGAAAATCTTCTTCTCTACTCCTGGGTATTATTGAAACAAATTGAATACACAGTTATGATAAGCAAGGGTGACTCTACCAAAATTGTGAAATTCATGGCCCAAGGGTCAGGGGTTCTGGTGCTAGGGTGGGGCTATATAAATCATATAGTGAAAGTGCATTATTTCTTTGAAAATCTTCTTCTCTGCTCCTGGGTATTATTGAAACAAATTAAATACATAGTTAAGATGAGCAAGGGTGACTCTACCAAAATTGTGAAATTCATGGCCCAAGGGTCAGGGATTCTGGTACTAGGGCGGGGCTATATAGATCATATAGAGAAAGTGTATTATTTCTTTGAAAATCTTCTTCTCTACAACTGGGTATT